GTGGCGGTGGTAGTTGGCGGGGTCTAGACGCCGGCCCCGGGCCGGGTCCTAAGCCGCGACGGCGACGGGCTGCGTTTTGGGGGCCCCGACGGGAGCCGAGCAAAATGGAGGGGTTCGGGGCCTGTTTACAGGCGCCGCGCAGCAAATGGCTGCTGGCGCTCCGGCCGCGCGTTAGTGCAAACCTCCCCGGGGCCGGGCCGCGGCGGGTGACGCAACGGGCCCGCGGGCGGCGGGGGGGTGGCCGGAGAGCCCGTCGGGGAGGGCGGGCTGTCGGGGCGCGCGGAGTCCGGGTCTCTGCTGCGGGGAGGGGGCCGCGGGGGTCAGAAACGGGGAGTAGACGGGGGTACGTGCCCGTCCTCGGGTGGTTAGAGGGCCGGGGGAAGTGATCTCTATGGCTGTGAGTGTTCCGCTGCCCCGACGGGCACAGGCGGGTTCTGCCCGCGGTGTAGACCTCGGACTCGGAGGGGCGGGGGTGCAGGGCGGTGGAGTCGGGATCCTTGTTCGGGGCCGGGCAGTGAAGGCCGCTGAGCGCCCACTCTTCTCCAGTTCCAGGGTCTCCCTCCCCTGCTCGAGTAACCCGGGTCCGGGGCCTCGGTGGTGCTCCTGATGTCCCTCACCCACCCCTGAAGATCCCAGGTGGGCGAGGGAATAGTCAGAGGGATCACAATCTTTCAGCTAATTTATTTTACTCGGTGAGTATGCGGGGTTCTGGAGATTGGGGTCCAGGTGGGTGGGTGGGGGGCGCTTCCCAACTAGCTGTCCACACCCGCAGGCTCTGCTGTCCAGCAGGGGACGCTTTCTGTCGCGCCCCTGTCGTGTGCCAGGGGCTGGTCTCCCTCATCTCATCAGGTCCCCAGAGTCCGTTTCCGGGAGTAGCGGGCACCCCGCAGCCCGGGCTGTCCCAAGCCGAGGTAGCCGTTGGCGAGGTTCCCTTGGTGCTTCGGCCCGGGGCTCCCGGCACGGCCCAGCCACTGCCCCTCAGGCCCTGCGGCGCTGCACGGGGCTGGGGGGCCTGGTGGTTTGGATGCTTTGCTGGGTTTTCTACAGTGATAGCAGCGAGGGGGACGTCTCCACGTGGAGGCTAGGCATCTGAGGTCGGTTCTGGGCCTTCTTCTCCAGGATAATCGGCTGAATGTAACAGAAGAACTAACGTCTAACGACAAGACGAAAATCTTGAACGTCCAGACCAGGCTCACGGCCGCCAAGCACATCAGCTGGAGAGTGGTGCTGCGGGGGGCCTCCCTCTACATCGAGATCCCGGGCGGGGCGCTGCCCGAGGGCAGCAAGGACAGGTGAGCCGCCCCCCCCCCCCCCCCCCGCAAGCCGTGTCAGTCTGGGGTGGCGGGTGGACTGGGTGTGAGCAATGGTCACCTAGGGCTCCTGTCCCCAGGGGATGCTGGGCCACAGCTGGGGACATCTGTGGTTGTCACACCGGGGGGGGGCTGTTTCTGGGATCGAGTCGTAGGGGCTGGGGATGGTGCTTCACACCCCATAGTGCCCAGGACGGCCCCCCAGAGAGGGACCTGCTGGTGGCAGCCGTGGGGGGAAGGCCTGGGAGTAGAGTCTGGTGCCTGTGGATGTGGAGAGGAGCGGGTGGTGCCTCGGGTGGTCCTGACGGTGGCCCTTCAGCTTTGCAGTTCTTCTCGAGTTTGCCGAGGAGCAGCTCCACGCTGACCACGTTTTCATTTGCTTCCACAAGAACCGTGATGACAGAGGTAGGTGACAGAGGCCCCAGCTGCTTTGCAGGGGTGAGGGGAGAAGGCGCCCTCTCTGCTGTCCCCGGGGCCCTGCCACACCCTGTTGGGCGTCCCCCTGTGCTCTGTTCTCTGTTGGTCACTTGCTGTGGGTCTTCTGTCGCTGGCACGTGGGGCGGGCGGTGGGGGGCCCCTAGGGCAGCAGCTCTAACTGAGTCTCCCCTGCAGCCGCCTTGCTCCGTACCTTCAGCTTCCTGGGCTTTGAGATTGTGAGACCGGGGCATCCCCTTGTCCCCAAGAGACCCGACGCCTGCTTCATGGCCTACACCTTCGAGAGAGACTCTGCTGGCGAGGACTAGTGGAGACGGGTCCTGGCGCCTCGCCGCGGAGCCTCGATCAGCCCGGCCCCTCCACGCTGCGAGGTGCGGGCGGCGCCACCAGCCCTGCGCTGAGTCGGGTGCAGCCGCTCCTCTGCTGGGTGTGTCGCATGTTGTAATTGTGCAAATAAACGCTCACTCCAAATTAGCATATATTTCTTGAAGTTTAATATTGTGTTTGTGATACTGAAGTATTTGCTTTAATTCTAAATAAAAGTTTATATTTTACTTTTTTATTGCTGGTTTAAGATGATTCAGATTATCTTTGTCCTTCGAGGAGGAGTTTATTTGAATTCTTTTGCAGTCTTAGATCTCTTAACTTGGAAAAATAGGTATTAATCGGCCCTTCTATTGCTCTCAAAAATCTGAATAAAAGTGATTCCAGCTCCAAAACACGTGTTGGCTCAGTGTGTTACCGCCCCCCTCCCCCCCTTCCCGGGGACTCGGGGACCTCGGGGTCGCCTGGGGTGGGGGTCGTGCCAGAGTCTTGAGCTGGGGGAGCCCTTATACAGGGGAGGCAGGCTGAGGCCCGGTGTGGCCTCCGAACAAGCGAGGTTTCTGTGGGGCGGTGTGGGCTGCTCAGCCCCTGGGTTGGGAGGCTGTTTGAGGGTTCTGCACCCCCCCACCGCCCGGCGGCCTCCAGCAGCCCGCCCCGCCTCTCAGGCGCGCACCCACCCCCGGTGCCCAGTGCTCTTCCCGGGGCGGCCGGGGCGGGAGGCCGGCCACGTTCCTGCTCCCCGTGCTGGCCTCCCCCCACCAGAGTGTTCACCGGCCCTCGATCCCGCGCGGGGCGGGGCGGGGCCGGGCCGGCGGGAGTTTCCGAGCCGGTGGTGTAGCGTCCGTGGCCGTGGGCACCCCCGTCCCCTGGGCGAGCCCCGGGCGGCCAGCGGTGCCGGGCCGGGGAGGGAGCGCTCCTGGGGGAGCCTGCGGAGCCCGGGGTGGGGGGGGGACGGGGGCGGAGCTAAAGGCGGAGGGTGGGCGGGGACGCGGCGCCACCTGCTGGCCGCATCTGGGAGCATCGCCGGGGATCCGCGTCCAGGTCTTGGCCGGAAATTGGCTGGACAGGGAGCATCTACGGAGGAGGAGGAAAGGAGCTCGGAGAGGTTGAGTATACTCGGGGGTGGGGTAGGATACTCAGCTACCTGAGTGATGATGGAGCTGGCCGTCAAAGGTCTGGGGGCGCGGAACAGGACGCACACTGCCAGTCTATGTGGGCAGGGCAAGGGCAGAGAGTGGGGTGTTGAAGGATGAATGGAAGTCGGAAGCAGAGGAGTAGAGAGTAGGGTGTGTCCAGTGGAAGAAACAACTTGGGCCAGGCCTGGAGGCCAGAAAGCACCTCCAGGGATGGGCCAGGGGGCAGGAGGGGTTGACCAGACAGAGCTTGCAGAGCCTTCGGAGGAGCCCAACTGTATTCTGAGAGTACTAGGGACCCATGGGAGACGTTTGAGCAGGAAAGGGACCTAGTCATATCTAAGGCTTAGAAAGATTCCTCCAGGATCGCCATGGCAGGGGTGGGTGTGGGTAAGGGGACATGACTGAGGCCAGGCAAGGGCAGTGGGACTCCTCAGGGCTCCTGTGTCCATTTGCCAGAGGTGTGAACTGAGATCCCATTCTCTCCCTCAGGTGCCCGGATGAGTCTTGTATGACTGTTTATTCCATCATCCTGCCTATTAAGGAGGCACCTACTGTGTGTTAAGCCCGGCCCCTGCCCTCAGGGAACTCCCAGCCTGGTGGGTGAGGGGGACAGGTGACAGGTGAAGAGTTGAATAAAAACTTCCAGGGGGCGCTAAGTGCTCTGGGGAGAGAAGAAGCCGGGAGACGAGAAAGAGCAGGTCAAGAGAGCCAGGAGGGTTAGCTTTATTTGCTTACAGGAGGTGGGATTCCAACAGTCTGGCAGAGGCAATAGCCTCTGCAAAGGCTTGGCGGCTGGGCAGCATTTAGTGTCACAGAGGGACAGCGAGGAGGCCAGGGTGGGGGAGAGACAGGGTCGGGAGGTGGCAGGGCACAGAAACCCCGGGAACGGGTGGGTAGCTGAGTTCCGACTCCTCAGGGAGGCTGTGCTGGGGGCGCTGGGTGTCTCGGGCTCCGGGGAGCCTGGCCTCCCCCGGAGACCCCAACAGTTCTTGATGAGGATGTTCACACTCCTGAAATGTCTGGTCGTCCTCAGCACAAGGGGGTGCTCCAGGGCCAGAAATGCCCCGGATGCCAGCATTGGAGGGAGTGTCCACACTCTCAGGGCAATGGTGACCCTCAGACCCCAGCACCAGGAGGGCGCCCTGATTTCTGTGGGAAGGCGGGGGAGGGGTTCCACACACTCGGAGAGACATTGACTGGCAGAGGTGTCCACGCCTGGGAGAGGGGTGGGCAGCCCTGGCATCAAAAAGCCTCAGCAGGCACTGGCCGTCCGCCCCCAGCCCGGAAAGGGGGCACCTGCGTTCCTGGGGAGGCCTCGGGCCTACGTCCCCAGCACAGAAGGGGGCCGGCGTTGGAGGGGGGCGTCCACACCCCTGCACTCTCTGCTAGCCTATCTGACCCCTTCTGGAAAGGGGCGTCCACTCTATCGTGGAGACGCCGGCCGCCAGCTCCAGCCCTGGAAGGGGTGCCGGCCTCTCGGAACAGGCGCGTCGCCCTCGGGAGGGGTCAGTCCCACAGCAGCGCCAGGGCGCGGCCCAGCGAGTCCTCGGTGGCCTCGGCCAGGTATTCACAGCACAGCCAGTCCTCCAGGCCGGGCACCTCCCCGCCCGCGGCCCGCTCGGCCAGGTGCAGGAGCAGCAGCGCGCGGCGCACCCGCAGCCAGGGCCCCAGCGGGGCTCC